GGGGGGGGAGGCACCCCCCCCTGCCAACGCCTGCACCTGGGGCAGGAGCACGGTGCAGGGGCAACTTCACCTCGCTGGATTGCGGCACTCCTGCAGCACCACCTGCGAGCGAAAGAGGACACGTGAGCGCAGGACTGAGCTGCAGGGCCAGGCACACGCTAACCCCCATGGCCATCGCAGCATGTGCTTGGAAAGAGATGTTTCAGGGGGCCACTGTGGGCAGGGACCCTCTAAAGAGCAGAGCCTGACACCTCCCATCCCCACACACAGCCCACGTGCTGCACTCACCGCTCCAGCTAGGGACAAGACTCAGCCAGCCCTGCCAGGAGCTGCTGCATCTCACGTGGTGGACTCTCTTTCACCGTACTTGGCCCAGACAGCTAGAGAGAAAGGAAAAAAAAAAAAAGAGGTAAAGAGGTGGAGGCTGCCAGGGATGCGTGAAGGGTTGGGCCAGGTTGCGGGGTGGGGGAACTCATTCAGGACAGCCAAGACAAAGCAGGCTTGGCTACCAGAGGGATGAAGAAGAGGGTCCCTCTGCAACTACCCAAGATGAAGGGGTGCCAGTCTGTCACCAGTGCTGGCTGGAAGAGGTTCAAATTTGACATCCCCCCTCCCATTGCTGCACAGCCTGCTCATACAGGAACGGTAGCCCAGCAGAACCCAGCACCTTAAAAATGCAGTAGAAGGCAGCAGTGGTGGGGCAGAGGCATGGAGACAAGTCTGGACTGATGGGACGTACCTGCTCTTTGCCATAGCGGCGTGCACAGGGCCCAATGCCCCGGAAGATCAGGGCCACCAAACAGCACCTGCCAGACAGCACAGCTTCTGCAGCCGCCAGCACCATGGAGGGGAACCAGAGCGCCAGCGCTGTGTCCTGCAGAGCAGAGGGTCGGCGGTACCTCAGGGAGCGTTGTCCACTGCAGACAGCCGACCTGCGCAGGGCTGAGCAGAGGCTGTGCGAGAAGTGGGGAGGGAGAGAACAAAAGGGAGCGGGAGGGAGAGTGAGAGGAAGAGAGGCAGAGAAACAGTGGGCAAAAGAAAGAGGGAGCGAGAAAGAAGAAAAAAAGAATAAAGAATAGAGAAAAAAAGAATAAAGAATAGAGAAAAAAAGAAAAAAGAGAAAAAGAAAGGAAGCAGAGACAAAAAGAGGAAGA